AAAGTTAACAAGAATGTTTTACATGTTTTTAAATTGAATTGAATTGAATTGAATTGAATTGAATTGAATTTGATTGAATTGATTGATTGATTGATTGATTGATTGATTGATTGATTGATTGATTGATTGTTTGATTAATGACTGCAAGGCAACACTTGCAGCATTTCAACAGTTCTTTGTGACCCCCTCCCAACGTTTCTGTTCCTTGGATCTTGTGTACCACACAGCCTGTCCTGCACCCCGGAGCAACCCCGTAAAAGAAAATTCAGCTGGCAGTCCAGTCAACTTCAATATGTGGCATGGACAAGAGCAAGAGTCCCAGGGTTATAATTTAAGCTTTTTTTCAGTCAATATTATTCATATGTATAATCAACATGTAAGCAGGGAATGGAATGATAGATCTTGCGATAAAATCCATGCAATGCGTGCAGTTGCCTAAAAAGATGAGAACTATGCACGTTCCTCTCCCTGCTCATAATCTTCTAAATAACATTCAGGAATTCAGATAACATGTCAGCCTTCATTCATAGGCTGACTTTTTTTTTTCTTTTTCTTTTAGATAACCATGTACAACATGGTATAGAACTGCTGATAGCTCAGTGGTTTAGGTATCTGGCTATGGAGCCAGAAGTTGGGAATTTGATTTCCCCACTGTGCCTCCTTGATGGGATGGACTCAGTGATCTATAGGGTCCCTTCCAGCTCTGCAGTTCTAAGATGATGATGATAATGGCAAATATAGAGTTCACTGGTTCTGCTTTTTGCTAGAGGTATAAAGAAATCTTGTTCCTGCTAAGATTGCCGGCTATCCCAGTATAATGACGCAGCATTCCAGTTTTCTTGCAAGATCTCAGCTTCAGCATAAAACTGAGATGTCAACATCTTTGTCCTCCATCATGGTTTATGCATGCCCCTCCCAATATATTCTGTGCAGAACCTTTGTTTTTATGTAGAAGAACATTTTTTATTCTTGTATGTAACTAAGCACATACAGAGCAGAAAGAACAAGACAAGCTGATTTATCATAACAGGAAACAAACAAACCCACAAACTGTTGTGTTCCTTGTTGGGTAGGATCCAGTAGGAAACAACTAGACCACCGGCAGATGGGCCAGATGGAGAAAATCTAGAGGGGGAAAATAAGCCAAGGTCAGAAACAAACTTATATCAGAGTCCAGCACAAGCTAGGGGAGGAGAATCCAAACCCAAGCCTAATAATAACCCAAAGTCAAGTTGTAAGCAGCAAACAGGAAGGGAGGAGATTTCGAGAGGCAGAGGCAGGACAGCCCAAGGTCATAATCAGCAGCATAGTCTTGGCAAGGGTGATGGTACAAGGAACACAGTAGGCACCACCTGCAGCTCACGAGAGAAATTGCTTCTAACAGCCAAGGCAGAGGTTTATAAGGCTGAGCTGGTCAGCCGTCATCTAGAGCTCAGCTTCTGGCATTAGGGAAGCTGGGTTCCTAAGAATCTACTTTTCCCCTAATGGAGTTTTCCTTTACAGCCAAACAGTTCTTGTAGGTGCCCCAAGCCAAGCCTTCAGTGAGCCATGGCACAATGCCCCTGTTTTCACCAGCTTGTTCTGTGTGTTTTACAAGAAATGCACAAAAATGGCAGGTAAAATGTGCAGATTTTTTTACCCAAACCAGAGAGAATAAAGCCTGCGGTGGCTGGTGTTAATGAGAAAAATTTTGAAGTGTTCTCATTTCCCCATGAGGACAAATCAAGTCAGGATTTACATTCCTACATCCTCCTGATGTCTTGATGCTTCACATCATGTCCAAAATTGCTCCAGTCTGAGGATTATTAGAAATTTGTAAAAGAACTTCAGAGGCTTCATGAGGCTCTAAATTGATCTTAGCTTGGATTGAAGTCTGAGCTGGAGAAGAATCCCTCCCCCACCAACCCCCACCACTGTCATCCTACTGCATTGAGTTGGGGAAAAATGGCAAAGACAAAAACTAAGGGTGGGGAAAACCTCCAAGGAATGTTCTATGGGGCTTTACTCTGCTTCAGTTTTGCTCCTTCAGCTTCTCAACACCTCTCTCCTGCAAATCTCGTGTAATTAAGAGAGAGCTGCCCGCCATGGCCTCTTATTGGGGAAACAGAAGGCAATGCGCTTGGCTTGCAAGTGAAAATGTGATTCGCCTACTAGTGACACTGAATGGCCTAGAAGGGACCCCACGAGAAGTGTACTGTCTGTCTCTGTAGGTGGAGTACATGGACATGGACTATCCCCCATTTCCAGCTCCAGCATTTATAATATTTGTGCTGTTGTGTCCCAAACTAGAGGGCTCATGAGCCTCTAGGAAGGACATGAAGTACACTTCCAAGGGTGGCACAAGATTGTGAGGCAAGGGGGGTGGGGGAGGGAAGGAAATATAGGACAGTTGTTGTGGGTTTTTCGGGCTCTTTGGCCATGTTCTGAAGGTTGTTCTTCCTGATGTTTTGCCAGTCTCTGTGGCCGGCATCTTCAGAGGAACAGGAGTAGGAACTCTGTCCATGCTCTGTTGAGTTTTGCTCCTTCAGCAGAGCATGGACAGAGTTCCCACTCCAGTCCTCTGAAGATGCCGACCACAGAGACTGGCGAAACGTCAGGAAGAACAGCCTTCAGAACACGGCCAAAGAGCCCAAAAAACCCACAACAACCATCAGATCCCGGCCGTGAAAGCCTTCAAGAAATATATGACCTTAGAAAAAACTTTTGTGATTGATTACAGTGCTAAACTTTAGGGTATCTCAAGAAATGTGTACTTACTTTTGTTTCATTTTTGTATTTATTTTAATTTTAAAATCTAAAATGAAGGGGGATAGGAATATAGTAAAGAAGAGACGAGGAGGCATGAGGGTTTCTGGGGGTGGTGGTGGAAAAGGGACAATGTTGTCCAAAACTTGATAATCACTATTTTGTGCAGTCTTTCCTGGTAACCATTATAGGCATTTTGCGAACATTTTAACATTTTCCATCTTAGAGTGGAATAATTCTGAATCTTGACATGTGGAGCTGGGTAAGGGTGAAAATGGCGGCCAGGATTTTAGAAGAAAATCCGTGGTCTGAGGGACTCGTATAAAAGGTAAAGGTTCCCCTTGACAATTTTTGTCCAGTCGTGTCCGACTCTACGGGGCAGTGCTCAACCCCGTTTCCAAGCCATAGAGCCAGCGTTTGTCCGAAGACAATCTTCCGTGGTCACATGGCCAGTGCGAGTTAGACACAGAACGCTGTTACCTTCCCACCGAGGTGGTCCCTATTTATCTACTTGCATTTGCATGCTTTCGAACCGCTAGGTTGGTGGGAATTGGGACACTTACGACTGCTTGGTCTTCTGCCCCTGCAGCACAGGCTTCTGCGGTTTAGCCCGCAGCGCCACCACGTGGACTCGTATACTTGACTGCATTTCCTCTGCTCACTCTTATGTCTTGGTCTACTACTGTCTTCTTACATGGCCAGTCTTGGAAGTCTGGGGGAAATGGCACATCCTCTAAATTTGGCTCTCAGGGCAAGTCTCCAGTTGCTTCCTCTTATTCATGGCCCTAGGGAAGACAAGCTGTAAAGGGGACAGAAGATCAGAATTTTATGTTTATGAAAATGGGGTGTGGGTTAAAAAAAGGGTTGAGAAACCCTGTTCTCTTGGCATTCCTTTTTTCCTGTGAAATTTGGTTTAAGCTTATAACGCACAGCCCGATAATATTTCTGAATGACTGGTTTCTTTTCCTAGGACTGAGCTACTTATAAAACTTGTTTTCCTCACTAGCAGACTTAATTATGGATTAAAGCGGCTTGGAAAAGGAATTTAATGTTCAGCCTGTCATGTCTCAAATATATTTGACAGCAGAGGTCTTTACTTTCTCTAGGATCTTTGAACTTGAACTTATTTAAAAATTTTATTTAATTTTAAACCGTTGTTTTAGGCCACCCTCCAACAGAGCTGTCAAGGCAGAGTATAACAAGGATAATAGTAATGCATCAGTATGAAATGTATAAAACATACAGTACCAAGGTTAAACAAATAACAAAGCAAAACCAACAGGCTCAGTTACTAGATGTAAATTTCCGTCAAGAGGATAAAACGGTCGGACCTTTGATTTGATATGCTAAAATCCTGGCCAAATAGCAGCGTCTATGCGTGGGCATTAAAGTCAAAGCAAAAACAGTGCCTGGGAAGCCTTCTAGGAATGCGTGCTCCATAAACTGGAAGGCAGGCAGGATATAAATAAATAATGAATGGGTGGATGGATTCTAACTGAAAAAGGAAGATATCTAACATACTGAAAGACTCCTCTCACCCGGGACATCAGCTCTTTAAACTATTACCATCGAGAAGGAGATTCAGGGTATTGAAAGCAAGGACAAGCAGATTCAAGAACAGCTTTTACCCAAGTGCAATATTGAGTTTAAATGCGGGGTCATAAGTTTTTGGTGGAATTTTAATTGCTGGGAGAAACGGGGTATCTATATTTGTATGGTGAGTGTTGTGTATATTTTTAACTTTTTTGTAGTGGTGTTGTCCAGTTTTACTTTGGGGAAGAGCACCTCATTTCGTTGCACCCACTTGTGAGTGCAATGACAAATAAATTTCTTATGTCTTATGTCTTAAAAAAAGAAACTTTTTTTTCTGACAGGCACCCATTAAACTTCAAAAGGTGAAAGGCTAACAGAAGAACCTTGGAAGACAAATGTAGGGACACAAATGACTTGAAAATGGTCAAAATTAAATAAAAGATTAATTTTCTGTTGTTCCAGAAGGCAGTTCTGGATTTTCTGTATAGCTTAGCCATGAAGTGCTTTCATACTCTATAATTTTGTGTTTCCAGTGAATAGAAACTATAAGGGGAAATGGATCTCGGCAGCAGATGTGTGGCTGAATGTATTTTGTTTCTTGTGCTCCCTGTGACTTTTTATGTATCCTATTAGAATTATTTATGTTTCTTTCTGTACAAAAATGTTATCCCTCACACAGCTGTTTCTTTTTCTATATTTTCCACAGCTGGCTGCACGTTTGAGGAAGATGGGGACTATAACCAGTGTGAATACAGCCAAGGTGTTGAGGATGACTTTGAGTGGGAGCTGATCCGGAGCTACCTCATGCCTCATATGACCTCTGACCTTCCTCACGGTGAGTTTGAGCAACAAAGGCTCTTGTAGTATGTTGACGACTAAAAATGATTTATGAAACAGACTTTCATGAGCCAAAGTTTGGCATGGCTGCACTGTAGAATGCGGAATGATGAACTTTTCCTCAGGTAGCAAGTTTTGGATGGTGCAACAAGGTGCTGGAGAGACGTTTGTGCTGTGTGGATTGCCATGTCTCCCGTGAGCTTGCATCCTGCCTTCGTTTCTGGAGGAAGATGTAGTCTCACCTCCATGTGAATATACATATATTTGTGAGGGGAAGTGATATAAAGGCTAGTGTGTTCGACTAGGAGTTGGGATGTTCAAGTCCTGACTGAGCTGTTAAATGCCGTGTAAGTGAAACTCTGTCTCTCAGCCTACCTACCATAAAGGGTTGCTTGCAGGAAAAATGGGGAAGAAGGCCAACGTGTGTTTTGTCTTTAACTAAATGTGAATTTTTTAAAAAGGAAGTATGGATATTCACAAATTTTGTTCCTAGGAAGATATGTGCACATATTTTCATGCAGACTTTAAAAAACTGTCAAACTATTATGGAAACAGGACAGAATGAACGTATGTTCTGAAAAATGTGAGTATTATAGAAACCAAAACTGACAGATTAATCTATCCCTGGAGAGAAGCTCTGTATTCTAGTCAGAAAGAAGTGGTCTCGCGTGCAATTCTTATATAAGCATCTACTTTTTGACAAGCATCTAGAGCAATTTGCTGTCAAACAGAAGTTTTTTATGTGATAGAAAGATAGGGAGATTCGTAGTGAATAATGAGGAAGAGTTGGCAGCCATTTAAAGAGCTGTATGGATTGCTGAAGCAGCTGAGTCGGTTCCAGCAACACATACCTTAAAGTGACCAAACACTAAGATCATATATCTAGGAATGACGGTGTAAGTAAATTGTGGGGAACTTTAGCTTAACGAACAAAGGCTCACTAGAAATGACTTAATGGTCATCAGAATTTGGCCTTTTCAGAGGATTCCTTTTTTCTCTCATTAGGTAAATATTGTTGTCGAGCATTTAGTTTCTTGCCTATATAGTATATGTTTTTTTTTCTGTAAGGGTTATGGTTGAAGAATAACCTTTTAAGTTTTTTTTAAATTAGAAACATAGGAAATTGCCTTCTTCCAGCTCACAATATGTGTCTGTATAGACCAGTGGTTCTTAACCCTTTTGAAAGAAACGCCCCCTTGAGCCATTGAGGAAGCTTAACGAACAAAGGCTCACTAGAAATGACTTAATGGTCATCAGAATTTGGCCTTTTCAGAGGATTCCTTTTTTCTCTCATTAGGTAAATATTCTTGTCGAGCATTTAGTTTCTTGCCTATATAGTATATGTTTTTTTTATGTAAGGGTTATGGTTGAAGAATAACCTTTTAAGTTTCTTTTTTAAAATTAGAAACATAGGAAACTGCCTTCTTCCAGCTCACAATATGTGTCTGTATAGACAAATGCTGTCTCCTTTGACCAAAAGTGGTCATGCAGAGTTTAAGGAGAGATTGGAGATTCAGGAGAAGCATTTTACATAATAAAACATGGTGAGGCTCATAGGGGAGATTCTTTAAAGATCTTTACCACAGGACGTTAAAGGGTTTCAAGGTAGTAAGTATCAAATTTAATTGAGTATAAATGTACCAGTAGTAGAGCTTGGAAAAGTTACATTCTAAATCAGTGGTTCCTAATCTTTTTCGAGTCATGTCTGTCTTTCATAATAGCCAAGTAACCTGCAACCCTCCCCCCATGTGTTTGCATAAAAAGGTATTTTAAAAACCCTCCCCCCATGTGTTTGCATAAAAAGGCATTTTAAAAGAATAAAGTCCTCCCTTCTCAGAAAGTAGAGTCTTCTTTCTCCCCCAAAGGGTCTGTTTTTCATACATACACATACACACTAACTTTATTATCCCGCTCTGAAAGGTCAAGGAAGAAATTATTTAACAAGGGCTACAACGCATATATTCTTTGACTTCCAAAGAATAGCAAGGAGAGACAAAAAGGCCTTCTTAAATGAACAGTGCAAAGAAATAGAGTAAAATAATAGAAAGGGAAAAACCAGAGATCTGTTCAAGAAAATTGGAGATATGAAAGGAATATTTTGTGCAAAGATGGACATGATAAAGGGCAAAAATGGTAGGGACCTAACAGAAGCAGAAGACATCAAGAAGAGGTGGCAAGAATAGACAGAGGAATTATACCAGAAAGATCTGAATGTCCCAGACCACCCAGATAGTGTGGTTGCTAACCTTGAGACAGATATCCTGGAGAGTGAAGTGACAAGGGCCTTAAAAAGCATGGCTAACAACAAGGCCAGTGGAGGTGATGGCATTCCAGTCGAACTATTTAAAATCTTAAAAGATGACACTGCTCCAAACTATAGTTTCATAATTTTATGGTGAAAATATGGGAAGTGAAAAAAATGGATATTCTGTCAGATGGGCTGAAAGACTGTTCAATTCAAAAAGAAACGGAAAGATGGGATGTATTGTATAAATGGCAGCAGCTACCAGACAATGTTGGAATAACATAGAATAAAATTAAAATTAAATGATAAGATAAAAGCAGGAGGGTAATCAAACTGTGAAAAAGCAAAAAGTTGATATGTATTAGTAATATGAATTGATTGGATGATGCTATACTTTATGCTCTCCTATCCCCCAAAACTATTTTTCCTTTCCTATCCCCTCTTTCTTTCTGTACCCTCTATCCTTGTTTCTAAATAAAATAAAATTATTAAAAAAAAAAAAAAGATTGTGGGAAGAAATATCAACAATCTCCAATATGCAGATGATGCCACTTTGATGGCAGAAAGTGAGGAGGAATTAAAGAACCTTGTAATTAGGGTGAAAGAGGAGAGCGCAAAAATGGTCTGAAGCTCAACATAAAAAAACTGAGATCATGGCCACTGGTCCTATCACCTCCTGGGAAATAGAAGGGGAAAATATGGAGGCAGTGACAAATTTTACTTTCTTGGGCTTTACTTTCTGATCACTGCAGATGGAGACAGCAGCCACAAAATTAAAAGACCCCTGCTTCTTGGGAGGAAAGCGATGACAAACCTTGACAGCATCTTAAAAAGCAGAGACATCACCTTGCCAACAAAGGTCCGCATAGTCAAAGCTATGGTTTTTCCAGTAGTGTTGTATGGAAGTGAGAGCTGGACCATAAAGAAGGCTGACCACTGAAGATGCTTTTGAATTGTGGTGCTGGAGGAGTCTCTTGAGAGTCCCCTGGACTGCAAGGAGAACAAACCTATCAATTCTGAAGGAAATCATCCCTGAGTGCTCACTGGAAGGAGAGATCCTGAAGCTGAGGCTCCAATCCTTTGGCCATCTCATGAGAAGAGAAGACTCCCTGGAAAAGCCCCTGATGTTAGGAAAGTGTGAAGGCAAGAGCAGAAGGGGATGACAGAGGACGAGATGGTTGGACAGTGTCACTGAAGCTACCAACATGAATTTGACCCAACTCTGGGAGGCAGTGGAAGACAGGAGGACCTGGCGTGCTGTGTTCCATGGGGTCATGAAGAGTGGGCCATAGACTTAACGACTAAACAACAACACATATAAGATGACTTATGACCCCCCAGAAACACTTTGTGATCCCCTTGGGTGTCACAATCCCCAGGTTGGAAAACACTATTCAAGATGAAGATGTTTGAAGAGTAAGGATCAGCTGCATTCTGCACCAGTTAATTCATTGTGCACTAACAGAAACTTCTGAATCATCTTTAAGGGTTAACACCACGTGGAGAGTCTTACAGCATATTCTGGAGTAATCAAATGGGAGTAATTTGTACCATAGAAGCTCTATGTGTGATGGGGTGACTCATAGCTGTAAAATCTGTAACCTTATATTCATTCCATTATCTCTGCAAGTTAAGAGTCTGACCCAGGAAGAGGAATAAAAGACATTCCAAGACTATAGGAATCGTAAATTGCATATATAGTGACAGGCCCTGTGATGGAGAGAGGGCAGCAGGGCGATTTGGCCTCCTCAGGTCATGGGGGCCTCACCTCAACCAAGGGTGCATGAAAGTCACACATTGTACACATTTTTTAAAAACGATGCCATGTTTTTATGCTAAATATTTCCCCCTCTTTCCAAACAATGTGAAATGTCTTGGGTCTCTCATCTGTGCCCTTGTGGGACCTGGATAGTGATATGCTTCTCTCACTTACAGAAAGTTGTCAACAAGCTCTTGGCTGATGTGGTGTGTGTGTGTGTGTTGTTGTTGTTGTTGTTGTTGTTGAGACCACTGTAAATATTTCATTCATTGAAACTGATTCTTATCCTTAACATCTAAAGCACATCTTTTGCTAAAAGAGATAGCATTAGGTGGCATCTGAACGGCAACAAACTGTCCGTGGAAAAAATGTCTATGTTTTGTGAATGACCCAAAGACAGGATTTCCCTGCTTGTCCTTAGCTTGGAATAAATGCCCACCCACTAAACTCAGTATGGAATTGGTTGAGCCATTGCGAGATCATCGGAAAGAGGTGGGAGTCGTGGAGGGGAGGCGTTTTTTCTCCTGTCTCCCTGTGGGATCTAAATGGGATAGAACTGTTTGGGATGGTGTCTGTTAAGCATCTGCTGTTTAAAGTGTGCCCCTTAACCTGCCTTCTCCCTCTCCCTTTTCCTTCTCTGGCCACACATAGATGCAAACAAACACACATGATTTAAAGATGAAATTGTCCACATGTAGAAAAAAATTAAAAGGTTTCACTTCCCAAAACTCAGAGTTTGAAACAAACAAACAAACCATAAAGCAAAGCCAGTATAGTAACACTGCCAACACACTTGCTCATAAGGAAGCTGAGAATAATGGGATGGACTTCAGAAGTCATATTCTAGTCGAACCTCCTGCTTCATAGAGGTTCTGCAGTGTAACAAAGCAGCTCTAGCATGCTGGACAGATCAGCCTCCAGCATCTGCTTAAATACTAGGAGATGGGGCTTTCAAGATGACTGAAATAGGGTGGGGGCCTGAAAAAGGCTCCTA